AATGTATTGATTGCAAAAGATACTATTTTAAATAAAATAAATTTTTTAACGTCTTTTTTATTTTATGATTTTTACTTCAAAATGACTTATGGGCTTATGAATTGCATTATTATGTTATAACATATAATATAATATATAATATAACATAACAATTGATCATTATATTATTTTAAAAGCCATTTCCAAATTAACATTTAGGCATTAAAAATAATCTGTTATCATTATTTGTTACTAAGTTGAAAAAGTAACTAGCAATTATTATTAATTGCCATTCTAGAAGTTAATTATTGAAAACAACTCGTTACTTTTTAATATCAAAACAATGCCAATAATATTGAATAAAACCAAAATTGAGCATTTGTGAATATCATTTGACAGGTGGATGCTTGCGACACAATTTCATCCAATTGGCGCTCGACAAGTATTTCCATGTTTTGATGACCCAGGATTAAAGGCAACTTTTAACATTTCTATAAAACATTTTAGTAATTATATGGCACTGTCGAATATGCCAGCACGAAATATAACTAGAGTTAGTCAAATCATGACATGGACATACTTTAAAGAAACTCCCGTAATGTCCACTTATCTTGTGGCGATTATACTGGCCGAATTTCCTAACACTCCTGTCAAAGAAATAAACTTTAGATATCTTACACTACAATCAAAACTCAATACAGAATTCGCACAAAGTGTTATCGAGAAAATAACTTTATATCTTGAATCTAAATGGGTGTGTTTCCAAAAGCTTCCGAAAGTGGATCATGTTGCAATACCAAATCTTCTACGCGATGGCGTGGAGTATTGGGGACTTATTTTTTATAGGTAATTAATATAATTAAAAAGAAAAATATTAAACATTAAGATACTGCATCCAAAATTATTAACATTATTAATATTAATGCCGTTCATTATTTGCTTAATTATAGAACGCAAAAGTACATAACGTATATTTTTTTATTCAATTTAATTACTTATTAATTCAATTTAAATGAATGTTAGTTCAACATCTTAACACTCGGAACTGTAAGGCGCTTCGTATTTAAAGTTTGTATATTTTTTTATTTATTAATTTCAGGAGAGACTATAGTACCTAATGTATCAGGAAAATTACTTTATAAGTTATTTATAAGTTAGTTTTTAAGGTACCTTATATGTGTTTGTTATAGAAATTATAGAACAATAGTAATACAAAATTGGAGCAAATAATAAAAAATACGATATAAAAAAATATTCGAATTGATTTTACTAAATTTCTATAATAAAAAGTAATTTATAAGTAATTTGTCAAGTAACTTTTCCAACCCTGTATAATACATTATATAATCTTATAATGACTTTTTGACAGAGAATATGCATAACATTGTTCTACGTTGAGAAAAAAAATATATTTATATACATTTTATTATATTTATAAAATATTTTATTAATCCTTCATGCTTTATATTGAAAATATC